CCCTTCCCCTTCTTTTTTCTTCTTCAGGGGAACTTAGCAATTCGGATCCTTTTAAGGTACGTTTGGGTCACCCCTCACACACTCTCTCTCATTGTCCTGGTTGCGAGGTGGTGGGGATTTGGACAAGTAGTGATCAGAATGCTCACAGCCAGAGGCTGATGAGTTATTTGGCTCTTGTATATTTATGTTTTTTTCTGAGTTCCACCCCCTTGTCCATTGGCAAGTGAGATGAGAAATCATTTGGAAAATAGCAGGGTTGTCCTAAAGCCTCTCACTTAGAAAGGGATCAGAGGGACCGACTCTCACTCCTACTCCTGCACCTCCCTTTTCTCTGCCCGGTCTCTAACCTGTACCTCTGGTTCTCCTGCAGTATAACAATTCAACTGGGATCAGCTATGAGACCCTGGGGCCAGAGGAGCTTCGAAGCTTGCTGACTACGGTGAGGGGGGACCTTCGAAGGGAGGAGGCCCTTGGGAGTGGGCTGGAGCCATAGGCGGTGGTCAAGGCCCTGGAGGAAGCTGGTGACATAGCAGTCCAGGGCCATGTCATTCTCTCTCTGGAATTAGGTTTCCTGGCCCATAGTGGCCTGGGACTGTCTGCTCTGGACACCTTGGGGCCATCTCTATTAATGCTATCTAGCATTCATACAGAAGAGAACATCTAGCGTCTAGAGTAGGTTTTCTCCATCCCTCCTTTCAGCTTATATTCCTCTTCCAGCAATGTGGGGTGATTTCTGAACACACCAAGAAGATGTGCACAAGGTGAGCACAGAACCTGGAAAGGGGGCCGGGGGCCTCCTGCGGACTCACCATGGGCATGGGTCAGGAGTACCCCTGGACTTGAGCAATGGGGCTCCCGCCCTTCCCCTTCCCTCTTATAATGGTTAGGCCTTTGGCCACAATCTGGGAACAAATCTATGTTCATCCCTTCCCTGTCTGTGCCTGTGACTCCTGCCTTGCCGAGGGGAGGGGCTTTACCAGAGTTCCTCATATCCCTCCCTGCCTTGTCGCTCCACCAGGTCCCTGCGCTGCCCACAGCACACAGATGAGCAGAGGCGAACTGTGCGGATTTATTTCCTCGGGCCCTCAGCGTAAGTGGCCCTACAGGCAGGGGGTGGGTTGTGACCAGTTAGGGTGATGATGGCTATCTCTAAAGGCTTTCTTTGGCTCATCCCCTTCCCAGTGTCCTTCCGGAGGTCGAGAGCTCCCTGGATAATGACAGCTTTGACATGACTGACAGCCAGGCCCTGATCAGCCGGCTTCAGTGGGACGGCTCCTCTGACCTCTCACCCTCTGATTCAGGCTCCTCCAAGACGAGTGAAAATCAGGGATGGGGTCTAGGTACGTGACCCAGTTGGGCCCCAGGGGCTCCCTGGCCGAAGCCATGGGGGTACCTCCTCTCCTGCCACAACCTTACCCTCATTTCTTGTGTCTCTTTCTCTACAGGTACCAACAGCTCCGAGTCACGGAAAACCAAGAAAAAGAAATCCCATCTGAGCCTGGTAGGGACTGCCTCCGGCCTGGGCTCCAACAAAAAGAAGAAGCCAAAGCCACCGGCACCCCCGACGCCCAGCATCTATGATGACATCAACTGACTTGGGTGCAAGGGATAGCCTTTGGCTGAGCAGAGTCCTCTCTCCTGACCCCCACCCAGGTGGCATAGCCTGGCAAATGGACAGCTGCTGGGGGTTGGGGCTTGGGAAGCTTGGTGGGCCAGGCAGGCAGAGGATCCAATTATGCACCCCTGGGGGGTGTCATGGTCCTCTGCAACGGAACACGACTCCTCGGCGTGCAGGACTCAGACCTGGACATATTATGCCTTGGACATAAGTTTGGTGGGGAGGCAGTTTTCCTATTTATTCTGTGAGTTACTGGATGTCCAGCTAGGCCAGGGGCCTGACCTGGGCACTGTGCCAGGGCACTGCCTGCCCCCCACCCCAGGAACTGGACTAAGCCCTGCCGAGGGGCAGTGTGGTGACCCGGGAGGCTGTGGGTTGGAAGCTGAGCCTGGAGGGGGCCTGTTGTGGTTGCCCTCAGTAATGTGAATGGGTCCGGTGCTTGGAGCTGAGGGGTACGGCTGGGCATGTGTTGTCTGTGTGGAGAATCCTATCAAATGTCCCCAGTCCCAGTGGTAGGCAGGCACAGAGTGCTGTCTGCTGAGGTGGGCGTCCAGAACTGCCGCCACCTTCCCTGCCCCTCACAGGGGCAGCCCTTTCCCCTCAGTCCCCATGGGCCTCCTTGGCAGCAGGAGCTGTCCTTTTGTTGCTGGGTGCCAGGAAAGGGCCTCCAGCCTCTACAGCTTCAAGGAATGGGAAAGGGAGGGTAGGAAGAGGGAGATATGTCAGAATTCTTCCCCCTGCCTCTCCTCCCTGACCCAGGGCTGGTGAGGAGTGGGGCCCCAAGGTGAGAGGGAACGGTGCTGCTTTATTTGAAATGTTTTCTTACCTCATTCCCTGCCCCAGGAAGGGACCCAGCCTCACCCTCCTGGGGTGGCCCCGTGTTCCTCCTGCCCACCCTGCTCCAGTTGCCCTACCGGGGCAGCCCAGGTTCCCAACTGCTGCTTCCACCCCCCTTCACCTTGACCGGCTTCAGTTCCTCTCAGCGCTCCTGCCTCCAAAGCCTGCCCTTTTTCCTTTCCTTAGCGCTTTTAAGTTATTTATTCTGTACTTGTGGTTTGGGGCTCTGAGGAAAATCCTAATCTCGTGCCTCTCCCCTTTTGCGAGGAGTTGGGTGGTAAGAGAGGGTGGCCTCTGTGCTCTGGGTTGTCAGTGGAGGGGAAGGGGTGTCATTGCCTCTCTGTGGGACTGTCATGCCAGTGTGCCCACCTGCCTGGTCTACATCCAGAAGAGATGTACCGTCCCCCCTCCATGCGGGCACCACCACTCCCAGGAGCCGAGCTGGAGGACTGTGACCTGGGCTGGGAGCAGAGCTGACTGACACGGGTGGAGGTGACCTTGAGCCACATTCTCTGGCACTTGCTGGACATGTCCCCTGCCCTCTTCCCAAGAGGGGCGATCCCACATTTGGGTAGCTGGTACCCAGGACTGGTTGGACTGATCGGGTTAGGGACCCTAGAGGGTTAAGGGAACAACAGAGATGGGGCTGCAGTGCTCTGTCTGGAACCCCGCTCTCCCCCTGGGGTGGTTCTGATTGTGGCTGATGCCTGGTTGCAAATTGGTTTTTAACCCACAAATTGTGATTATTTTTTAAAAAGCCAAACAGAATTTGGCAGGAGTTAGAATAAATCCTGGGGCCAGGGCTCCTCTGTTCTTGGCCCTCCGTAGCCTTCTCCCTCTCCCTCTGAGGGGAGGCTGGAGGGAGAGGAGGATCTCAGCAGGCCTCTAGCCGCTTCCAGATGCAGTCTAAGGAGTGGGCTGAAGGTGAAGGGAGGAAGGCTGTGGGCCACTCTCCCTTCTGAGAGGCAGCTGCAGCTCAGGCCCTAATACACTTTTTGCTCTGTGGCCTCTCCCTTTTTCCCCCTTCTGGTTGGGAGGAGGGAGAAGTGGGAAGTAGTTTGGGAACTGGTTTGTCCATATAAACTTCCCTATTGTTCCTTGGCCCGCCCTCAGGGCAGAGCCCCCTGCCCAGGCTGGGTAAGAGATGGGCTTGGTCCAGCAGGGACCCTGAGGGAACAAACCCTTTTCCTTCTGGGGAGAGAGTGCCCCCCTACCATGTAGTTGAACAGGGGCTAGGAGCTCCCCACTCCCCTCCCTCTTAACAGCAGGCTGTGTGGGTTTCAATTCCCATCCTTCCCACCCCGGCTAGGTGTCTGTATCCTATCATGTGTCTGAGTGTGTGTGGGGGGGTTCTGTACTAATTTCCATGGCCGGTGGCTTTTCCTTCCATGCATCACTCCCCCCCGCATGCCCAGGGGCCACCCGCCTGGCATTACCGCATGCTGGGGTCATTGGGGGAGGGGGGTGGGGCTCACGCTGTCCTGTGGTCTTGAGATTTTTATTTTTGCATATGTAATCCATTCTGTACAGGTAGCTAACTTTGTAAACGCTGTGTATTCCCTCTGCCCCCATGGCTGCTGGTGTAAATAAACTGCATCTCCCGTTGGTAGCCTGGCCTACTCACCCTCATTACCATGTTGCTGGGGGGCAGCGCAAAGCCATTCTCCTACCGAAAGAGGCTCCACCATCACAAAATGGAACTTTATTCAGTCACACTGACCCTCCATCCAGCAGCCCCAGAAGCAAGAGCCTAAGGGCCAGCGATCCATACCCAGAGCTCATCCTTGGAGTTGGGCAGGGTAGGACGCTGGCCAAGGGCCAGTGCTGTCTCCTGCTTGCAGCCTGAGGCCTATGGAAGCAGCAGCTGTGGCCTGGCTGCTCCCAATGCTGGGGGCTTGGCTTGGTGCCCCATCCCCTTCCTGACTGAGCTCTATGAAGGACTCTTAAAAAAAAAAAAAAAAAACAAAATGCAAGCAAAGTGCTTTGAAAGAAGGGAGGACACTGAAAACTATCTAGAACATGGAGAACACCCTATTCCTGCTAAGGGGTAGGGGGAGAAGGTGAAGGTGGCCAGGTGCCCGTAGAGAAGGCGTGCAAGATCTACATTCCCGCCTGTGTGACTTCAGTCTCAAGACTGATAACTTGGCTGAGAAATGGAAGGATACTCCAGGCTCCCTACAGTGGTATGCTGGGGCCATGCTAAGGTGCCCTGGCTGGCAGCCTGGGTGCTGGGGGGCAGACATGCAGGACATTGGGAAGAGCTAGGACCACAGGTAGGAGGGAATCCTCAGAGCCCAGGCTCCCCACTGAGCTTGGCCATCAGCTCTGAACTTCAGGAGGACCCTAAAAGTGAAGGAAGGTGACATTCTCATTTCTACCTGAGTTGTGCTTGCACAGAGGGGACGTCTGTACTCCCGTGGACAAGAAGGGGAGGCCCTGTACCTGCCTCCTATGTCCTATGGAGGGGATTTCCATCACATCCTTTCTACCCCTCCCTCCCAGGCCCTCAGGCCCAGCTCTGGCCAGAAAAAGGGGGGAGGCCATAAAGGAGGAAGACCATGCCTTTCATTTTCTCCCTATGTCCTTATCGTCCATACATCCCAAATACTAGGAAGCTGAAGAAGACCGTGACTCCCACCAGGGAGACAGTGGCAGGCGCTGTGAAGAACTGGCGGTAATTGATTCGGAAGTACCAGACCACACCCAACAGCACCACAAACACAGGCACCATGAGGCTGCCCACATTGACACCGAGGCTGGGTGGCTCAGTGGCCGAGGAGGCCAAGGAGGCTGAGGGGCCTGGAACAGCTGACCCTGGGGGTGAGCGGTGGCAGTGAATCACACAGTTGTCAGTAATGTTCAGAGAACGCAGTGTGCGGGCTGGGTCCTGTAGCAGGCGGCCCTGGTAGATCAATTTCATCTGGCTTTCTTGTCCAGGGAAGTATTTGCTGTAAGGATGAAAGTACATGGAAGGAAAGACAGAGAGTGAGGAATGAGAAAGCAAACAGGCCTGGAGCAACAAAGCAGGGGAGTGGGGAAAATTGGAGGGTGTATTTTTTTTCCCCCTTATTTTTATCCTTAACTAGTGAAGGGTGTATTTCTTTTTTTTTTGAGACGGAGTTTCACTCTTGTCACCCAGGCTGGAGTGCAGTGGCACGATCTCAGCTCACACAACCTCTGCCTCCTGGGTTCAAGCAATTCTCCTGCCTCAGCCTCCCAGGTAGCTGGGATTACAGACATATGCCACCGCGCCTGGCTAATTTTGTAATTTTAGTAGAGATGGGGTTTCTCCATGTTGATCGGGCTGGTCTCAAACTCCCAACCTCAGGTGATCCGCCCGCCTTGGCCTCTCAAAATGCTGGGATTACAGGCATGAGACTGTAATCACGTGCCTGAAGGGTGTGTTTCTAAGTAAGTATCTACCTGCCCTTAGGAGGGGCTTGATCTTACACTTTCCTGCTGCTCCCATGTCTGCACCAGCCTCCTTAGAGGGAACCAAGGGCTGGGGGATGGGCACAAGCAGCCTCCCACTTCCCAGGCCACTCACCTCTTCAGGGCACCCACGGTATCCTCTGGCCTGGCCACAGCCAGCTCCTCGGTATCATTGAGGAATTTGAGCCGCACAGTGATGAGGCCGGGGCTGGGAGGGAGGCAGGTGCTATCCTCAGATCTCAGGGGGACCTCTGGACTGCTGCTGTCTGCACCTGCTTGTCTTTTGGGCAGGCCTTGGATGTCAAGGAGATGCTCAAGGCTGGGCTCAATACCACCCCCAGCTCCAGCTTCCCCTGTGGAGTCTCCCCCACCTTCGCCAGCCTCTTCAGCCTTCTCGTCATTACCCTCTGATGGATGGGGGAGTTCAGTTGGTTCAGGGTTGCCTTGGCCTGCCACCAGGTGGTCCACATGCCCCAGGTGGAGGACAGATGTATCGCCTGCTGACACAATAGTGCCCAGTAGCTGGTTGCTACCGCTGTCTGCTACGTAGGTAGAGAGCCAAGCTAGGACCAAGGCTAGAATCAGCACCACCACACCTGCCACCACCATCACCTCATTACCCACACCCTCAATGAGGGTGACATCAGAGAGCTCCATGGCCTGGCTGCTGACAGGGTCCACGCTGCAGGAACAAAGGGGGATAGCATCAGCAGAGCCTGAGGGTTGTAACCAGGTCTCTAGTTTGTTTAGGTTCTAACTGACCCAGCCCTGAAAAAAAAAAATGGAGTTCAGTGTTCTGTAGAATCAGGGACAAACCTTCCCAATTCTGGCGCCCCAACCTAGAGCTAAAGACCTACCCTTTGCCTCTATTGTGAAACTCTTGCTTTCAGTTCTGTGATCTTCCTCTCTCACACTGTAACTTCCCAATGAACATGGATCAGCAGGAAAAGCCCACAGCCTTGCTGCTGCTGCTGCTGCTGCTACTACTACTGTTGGTTTGTTTTTGTTTTTTTTTGATGAGAA